GCGACCCGTACCTGGGCCCGCGCGACGAGGGCTACTCGCCCCGGGAGAGCTACTCGAGCCGCGACTACCCGAGCGCCCGGGACCCGCGCGACTTCGCGCCCTCGCCGCGCGACTACACCTACCGCGACTACGGCCACTCGAGCGCGCGCGACGAATGCCCTTCCCGGGGCTACTGCGAGCGCGACGGCTACGGGGCCCGCGAGCGCGACTACGCCGAGCACCCTAGCGGAGGCTCCTACCGAGACCCCTTCGACGGCTACGGCGACCCGCGCGGCGCCGGCCCTGCCCGCGGCCCGCCGCCATCTTACGGCGGAGGCCGCTACGAAGAGTACCGCGGCTGCTCGCCCGACGGCTACGGCGGCCGCGACAGCTACCGCAGCGAGCGCTACTCGAGCGGCCGCGAGCGCGTGGGCAGGCCGGAGCGCGGGCTGCCGCCGTCTGTGGAACGAAGCTGCCCGACCCCGCGCGACTCCTACAGCCGCTCGGGCCGCCGGGCGCCCCCCCGGGGAGGAGGCCGAGTGGGAAGCCGCCTGGAGCGAGGGGGAGGTCGGAGCAGGTACTGAGGCCGCTGGGGCTCAGGACTCACGTCCGAAGTCAAGAAAAGAAGAAATCAGTTTCCTGGTAACTCACCCAAGGACTAGTGCTAAGAAGAGTTGTTTTTCTTATTTTTTACCGTTTTAAGATTTTTGCACCCCTGTTAACTTCCTCTGCATTTTTATGCTTTTGAGAGGCAAAAAAAAAAAAAAAAAAGTTAAAACCCGTTTAATTTCATTTTGGAATTGTTAAACGTTTCAACAAGCTCGTGTTAAAAGTATGACTTGAACCTGAGTAGTAGTCTTCCTTGTCGTTCAAAATAGTTCTCTTAAAGGCTTCTTCCCTTTCAAATTTGCCTGATAAATGAGGCAAGCGGTTCTAAGGTGTTTTCACAGAAATCTTGCCCACCTAAAGTGGAAAAAGGATCGTGCTACCCCTTCAGACCAAACTGGGGTTCGGGGAGAAAGCGTTGGGGGGAATTGGTGTTTGCTACTGGATTCCAAAGTGTCTTTCAAACTGAATCTCTGTTTGTACTAAAAGTACTAAAAGCCAACCAAACAGCAACCAAACCCACTTAGACCAGACGCTGTGTAAAGAAGGTGCCATTCACTCAATGCTCAATGAGTCTAAAGCAAATGGATGCTGGCCTTTATTTTAACTTGTTTGACTGTTTTGCCAATTTTGCCTTTTCTTTGGGGATCTACAGAATCTCCTGTCTCCTCACTCCCCAAAATAGCATTTACCTGATTGGAACAGCGATGGAATACTAAATTTAAAATTTGGCCAACCACAAAGCTGAAAAACAAAACAACCCAAAATTATCTGTTGATAGCATTTATTTTTACCATTAACAAATTAAGAAAGAAATGTGCCAGTGGTGGATTTGGGAATTATAATGACTTCCATTCCTGAGATAGATACTGGTTCAGGTGGAGAGAATTGGGCTTCTTCCCCCTGGGGTGAAGCCTCTCAGGAACAAAGGTCAGAGAATCCCCGAAAGATTCCATTTCAACATCTGAGAATCTCAAATGCTTTGAAGGGGCAGGGTCAACTCTCTGAAAAAAGCAAAGGGTTTGTTGAGTGTTCCCCACTGAAGAGGGGGGGTTTGGGCAGAGAAAGACCAGAGAGGCTTCTTTGAAGATACTTCAGGAGAGACATAGGTCTCCTCTTTTCACCCTAAACTTAGGTCAAGAAATACCCGTGGAGTTCCCCTGCTTATGTGAGAAAAAGGTGTAGAACTTACTTTCAGTGTAATATTGCTCGAGGAAACAGCTGGACACCTGAACAACAACAACAAAAGTCTTGAGTTCTGAATGCAACACACACAATCCTAGAGCGTGGGTTTTTTGACAATGTAGTAGATGAATTAAAGGATGCGCCACCTAGTGGCCCAGAAGATGAAACAGCAAATAGAAATTTTAAATCCAGGAATTCTAGCAAAACTACCTAAAATCTTTATGGGGAAAAGTTATTTACTAAAGAAAAAAAGAAGAACTAAACAAATGGAAAGTCATGTTATCTCATGATTGAGAAAACTTACCATAATTTCTCAATCTTGCCAAATTAATTTGAAAAAGCAGTACAACTTGAACTGAAGTCACAACATATTTTTCTCATAGCTCCCCTCCCCTCCTTAATAACAACACCATTCATTGTTGATCACTGATGCAATGTTAATATTTGGTAAGCCAAACCCAAAACAAGACAGTAACTTTATTTTATCAACAAATTATGAAGGAACTTTTTTTAAGATAATGGAAGATATAGCTAATCCTAAAATTTACATGATGGAGTACAGAGCAAGAAGAGCCAAAATAGTTTTGAGGAAAAGTATTAGGAGATATCAAGTATAATCAGATATCAAGATTTCTTACAAAGCTCTAGCAATCTAAGCTGTATATTACTATCAACAGACAAAAATAGACCAATAGACCAAAATCATGAGCCTAGAAACAGTCCCACCTACAGATACAAGCATTGTTGTATGATAGAAGTAGCTTTATAAGTCAATGGTGGAAGGATGGACATTTTAAAAATGACTGTTGATTTGCAAATGATAAAGTCAGATTCTTTAACTCACACAATACACAGAAATATGTTCTAGATGGTTTGAAAACAATTCTGAAGAGGAAAAGTGAAACAATTAAATGCATTCATAGGTGGGTAAAGAACTCTTAAAGACAAAAGTACAAACCTACAAGGAAAATGTTGATATAATTTCCACACTATTAAGATATTTTGTGATAAAAGGTACTATTAACAGTGAAATGTCAAATAAATTGGAAGCATGTTTTTATATTGAAATAACTTCCAAAAGAATGCTTTGGAAATACTTTTTAAAAAATGACAAGGAATAAATGAGCAAAAGGACTCATACTTTCCTGGTAGGTGTAGAAGTTGACACAGACTCTTTGGAAGTAAATTGACAGTGCCTAGTAAAGCTGAAAGGTGTGTATCTCATGATCCAGAAATTTCAAGACAAGACCCTAGAAAACGTACAAGTACACAAGGAATTATGCACAAAACTGGTGTTTTAGAGCCCTCTTGAGCGTTTAAATGGTGTAAACAGCTTATCAGGAATGGTTCCACAGAGGATGAAGGTCCACCCAGAGGCAAAGGTGAATTGACCAGATCCACATGATCAACATGGGTAAGTATAAAGTATGTGGTAGAAGGGGGAAATTGCACAAGTATAAATTGCATAAATATACAAAACCCAAAAAGCATTATTGGAGTGATAACACAAGATAGGGATATTTAGTGTGCAGAGGAAAAGGAGGAGATGGGATAAAGAGTAAGTTTCAGGTCAATCTTAGCTCTATGATTTTTTTCTGAATGACATTTTACTGAGCATGGTACCCCCCTTGAGGTGGAGGCAGAGGATTATGAATTGAGGCCACCTTAGTTTTACATAGACCTTGTCTCAAAACTAAATTTTTAATAATTAAGATATATGGGGAGTTGGAGAGGGTCTGGAAGAAATTGGGAGTGGGGATCATGATCAGAATATAGTGTATAAAATTTTTTTTTTGTCCAATTCAAAAGAAAAAAACTACTGGGTGATGGTGGCCTTTAATCCCAGCCCTTGTGAGGCAGAGGTGGAGCCAGGCAGATCTCTGAGTTTGTGGCCATCCTCGTCTGCAGAGTTAGTTCCAGGACAGGACAGGGCTACACAGAGAAACCCTGCCTCGACAAGTCAAAAGAAAAAAAAAAAAACATTATTTCTATGGTTTATTTATTAACATACAAGTTTAAAACATTTCACAGTAGAAATTTTAATATGATAATTAGAGGATTGCACAATACATGGTGTATAACCAAACAATAAAATGAAACATTTTTACAGTGATTTTCCTTTGTTCTCAAGTAGAGGTGATGCATTTGACTAAGTTTCTAGAACCTTCCTGCCCTGGATGGGCTTACAGCTAGTTTATCATAATCTCATATAATTTGCATATCTGAATTCCAAATCTTAGGAAGTTGCAGGTTTTCCCCTTTAGGGCTTAGTTTTGTCTTTTGAGACAGTGTCTTAGATCCTAGAGTAACCTCAAATTCACTAGTAGACTAGGAAGACCTTGAATTCCTTGTCCCTCCTGTCACTATCTCCTATGTGCTTAGGCTACAGGCATGCTTACCCATGCTAGGTCCAGACTTATTCTGGAAGCAATGAAAAACTTACACAGTTAATATTACTTAATGAATAGTTATCTTAATGTTGAAGCCATTTATAACTAGCTGAGCCCCTGCAACTTTTCTTTAAATTATACGGTTTCCACACCCACCCTCCTTTTAGCTTCTATTTTAAAAGCAATGTGTTGTTCATTTTCTTAAAATACTCCTTTTCAGGGACAATAACTCTGCTCTCAATGTTTTCCTCCTTGGGGCAGAATGTAGAAGTTACCAAGCAGAATCAGGCTTGATTGCATACATACATGCATTCCCTGTGGAGGTTAAAAAAAAAAAAAAAAAAAGTTCTTTTTAGAATCTGCCTGTTGTATATACAGTGATACTGATTCTAAAGATAATCTCTGTCCCAGGATAGCCCTTTCAAGAATAATTTTTAAAAGACCCAACAATAAATATGTATGTCACACATATATGTGTCATTTATATGTATGTGGAATGTCATTATCCAGTGCAAAAGTTAATTCTAGAGGAACTACAGTGAGCAATGACCCCATGGAGCTGAAGAGACCTGTTGGGAAGTTTTAGGGGGCAGTGCAAGGGAGCAGCAGTACAGCTTCCCCTGTTTGCCTGGAGGCCACTTGCTTAGTGGAGACAACATTTGCTCACTGGTGCCATCCTCAGTCTAGAAATTTGTCCCTCTTATCAGCATTCAATATTGGGAACACACTGATAGAGCTGTGAGCAACTGTTAAAACAGAGTGAGTTGTGAACTGTCTTAAAAAGTGAGCCTAACAGTTTTCCTACGAAACTTTACAAAAATCGTGTCTTCTAGAAGGCCAATCTGTTGGGGAGTCATTCTGGAGAAAGTAATCCTTAGCCAGACAATGAGACAGGGCTTTGAGCATGCTGGGCTGGCACTCTACCAACTGAGTTAACCTGGTAGCCATAACTTAGATTCAAAAGGGATTATAGACTGATTAAATTATACAAATACATACAGATTTAATTGTTATATTTAACTATGAGGTAATAGCAGTAAGAGATTGGCACAGGACACCAGAAAGTGCTACCTTACAGAAGTAGTAACTGAAATAAGATGTAAAGATGAGTGCCAGATAGCTATGAGAATTAAATGAGAATACATTTTTGTTTTTGTTTTTCAAGACAGGGTTTCTCTGTGTAGCTTTGCGCCTTTCCTGGGACTCACTTGGTAGCCCAGGCTGGCCTCGAACTCACAGAGATCCGCCTGCTTCTGCCTCCCGAGTGCTGGGATTAAAGGCGTGCGCCACCACCGCCCAGCAAGAATACATTTTAAATGTAGCACATAGGAAGTTTTCTTACTGCTTTTCTCTAGCTCTGAACACGAGAATAATTTTTCTGAGAGCTTAGAGATGAAGCTAAAAGACATGTATGTGAATCACTAAAAGTAATTAATTTAATTTAATTTAAGGACATACATTGAGGTTGATTACCAGGAAAGCAGAAAAGAGGAATGCCAAAATACAAATCAACAAATGAGGGCCAGTGAGAAAAAAAACGGAATGGATGCAGGCACAGTAGCACATACCTGTATTCCCAGCACTCAGTGGCAGAAGGCAGGTGTGGCAGTGTCAGCTGCACCTAAGTGTTTTATCGCTGGCCCCTGAACTATGGACCAGAGGATGATTGGAGGTAGAGAGCTATCTTGTATGCAGTAAGGGCTAGATTTTGTTTGAAATTGCCCTACAGGCTGAAGAAGCTGAGTAGTTAGGTGTGCTTCCCGACACTGAACAAAGGTTGCCCTTCAAGAATAGTCCACTAGATGTCACCAAAAGTTTAACAATTCCTTCCATGCACCTGCACCATAATTGTGGAGACAGGGCCTGAGGCATATGCCTGGGATGGTACAGATACCTTCCTTCTAGATTGGATGAGATGAAATAGAGGCAAGTGGAATCTTCAACTCACCTGAGGTGAACACTGTGTCACTTGGAAAATGGAAATATATCTAAGTATATATAAATATTAAAATTAATAGGAAAAGGTGGGAATTTATGCTAATTAAACTGGCTAACGCCTTTGAAAAAAGTAGTATGTAATAGTAAAGCACATGTAAACATCATTGTTTGAAGCTTTGCTTTAGTTAGGGATCTCTTACTGGCTTAAATAACTTTTTAAAAAAATTACATTTATTCAGTGTGAACACATGTATGTGCTGTGAAATGCCTACAGAAGTCAGAAGACAGCTTGTGAAGTCAATATTCTCCTTCCATCATATTAGTAATGGGGATTAAACTTAGGTCATCACACTTGACAGCAAGTACCTTTACCCGCTGAGCCATCTTAATAACCCCTATAGATTTTTTCTTTTTGTGACAAAATTTACTACCATAATCATTAACTTTTGAAAATTCATTCTTTGAGAGTTTCGTACAACATATTTTGATTGCATTTAGCCCAGTACCCCAACTCACTTTCCTCTTTTTTGCCCAGTACTTGTGTTCTTTTATTTTATTATTTTTTTTTTTTTTTTGGTTTTTCGAGACAGGGTTTCTCTGTGTAGCTTTGCGCCTTTCCTGGGACTCACTTGGTAGCCCAGGCTGGCCTCGAACTCACAGAGATCCGCCTGCCTCTGCCTCCCGAGTGCTGGGATTAAAGGCGTGCGCCACCACCGCCCGGCTTTTTTTTTTTTTTTTTTTTTTAAAGATTTATTTATTTATTTTGTATACAGCATATATGACTGCAGGTCAGAAGAGGGCACCAGATCTCATTACAGATGGTTGTGAGCCAACCATGTGGTTGCTGGGAATTGAACTCAGGACCTCTGGAAGAGCAGTCAGTGCTCTTAACCTCTGAGCCATCTCTCCAGCCCTCTTTTATTTTTTTAAATTCTTCAAGACCAAGTTTAGTCACGTTAAAACATTCATATTTTTATGCTAACCACCATGTATTCATTCATAAAATTATTTCATCTTGAAAATGTATTTTCTTAAATGTAAAAAAAACCCAGAAAGTTGAGAAGATATAGGTATAATTTTATATAATCAAGTTTGAGAAGATTTTTGTAATCCAACAGGAAAGGAATCATGAGAGTTATATAGTGACATACTTGTTTATAAAAAAAACCTTTTCATTAAAATTAAGTTCATTAAACTCACTATGTGGATATCCTATTTTTATTAATTAAATTTATTTATTTTACATCCTGGCTATAGTTTCCCCTCCCTCCTCTCATCCCATTCCCTTCTTCCACCTCCTCTCTGCCCCCTTCACACACACCCCCAATCCACTCCTCTTCCATTTCTGTTCAGAAAATGGCAGGCTTTCCATGGATATCAACAAAATATGGCATATCAAGTTGCTGTATGACTAAGCACCTCCCCTTATATTAGGGCTGGCAAGGTAATCCAGTATGAGGAATAGGTATCTAGCAGCTAGCTAAAGCTTTGAGGACAGCCCCTGCTCCCACTGTTAGGAATCCCACAAGTAGACCAAGCTATACAACTGTCACATATATAGAGAGGGCCTTGGTTGTCCCATGCAGGCTCCCTGGTTGTGTGTTCAGACTCTGAGATCCTTTGAGCCCAGGTTAGTTGACTCTGGGTTTTTTTGTTTTTTTTGTTTGTTTGTTTGTTTGTTTTTTTTTTTT